GATGAAACCAGAGTCAGGAAAACCAGTTAGATGACAGTCACTATGGCACTGGAAAGAAAGAAAATTTGAGCTAGGACCGTTGTAGAAGGGATGAAAAGAAGAGGACTGATCCGAGCTTGATTCGGGAGATGAACTGGGCAAGGTTTGGTGGTTCATTGGATTTGGGGTGTTAGGGAGAGAGAGGAAACAAGGAAGACAAGAGGTTGATGATGGTAACCCCAGAAGACAGAGAATAGGGAAGAAATGCCAGGTTTGGGGGAATGTAGTGAGTTTATTTCCGACATCTTGAGTTTGAGGAGTACCTCATTTATTCAGGAGATGTCCCATTAGTACTTGATATGTTTGAAGTTTGATGGAGACGGGGAGAGGGATGGGACTGGAGGTATATAATTTGTGGTCATAAACTGTAACGTAGTGGTAGAAACCATGATCGTGGGCAAAATCACCAGGGTAAGTAAGTAGTGTGAAATGGGCTGTGGCTGGCCCAGCTCCCTGGGAAATATCAACATGTAAAGAGTTGGTGGAGGAAGATAAACTCACCAAAAAAAAAAAAAAAGGACTGAGAAGGACAATCAGAGCATGTTAGGAGTGTTAGGAGGACCAGCCTTGCTCACCTGTGGCTTCCTCAGGGCCAGCTTTTCCCTGACTTCCGACTACCCCAAGTCTGGTACTGTCATCCCTTTAAGAAGTCCTCTGTGATTGTCCTTCACAGAAGCTAACATAATTATAAATTATTACCTGATTGTGTTATTATTTAATGTCTATCTCTCCTGCTAGAATATGAGTTTCATGAGAACAGGGATTGGATCTCTCTTATTCCCAGTGAATCCCCAGAACTTGACAAATGCCTGACAGTTAGTTGCTCAGTAAGTATTTGTGAAATTAAAAAATTGTGTTCCAGCCCCGACGGGGTGGCTCAGCTGGTTGGAGTAGCGTCCCATACACCAGCGGGTTGCAGGTCGGATTCCTGGTCAGAGCACATGCCTAGATTGTAGGTTCAATGCCCATTTGGGATGCACACAGGAGGGAGGCACCTGATCAATGTTCCTCTCTCTCCCCCCTGCTGCCTTCTTCTCTCTGTAAAAAAAATAAAAATAAAAATAAAAAATAAAAAAATCAATAAAAACATATCCTTGAGTGAAGATTAAAATAAAAAATAATGTTCCAAACGTCCAGTGAGCAGAGAGTTTTTTAAATGTCACTTTTAATAATCAAGCTATCTGTATAATGTTCAAGTCAAAGTATAAAAGAATGCTTATTGTATTTTTTTTTTTTTTTAGTATTTCCCATGTAAGAACATTAAATTTCTGTCAGTTTTTAAGTCAGTGAACGATTCTCTCCCACTTCTTCTGGGTATGACTGAGGCCTTCAAATACTAAGGCCAACAGCAGGCTCAGTATGTATCAGTTTTGTAGTATTGGAGAGCTACATAGTGACACTCATTGCTCCCAAAGCTCCACCCATTCCCCAAAGCTCCAGGAACAGAAGGACAAAGTGCATCTTGAAAATGTATCTGGTCATTCACCCATGGTTACAAATCACAATGTAAATGTGGTCACAGTGTAGAATGTCCTTTAGGCAATACATTTTTTTTTTTTTTAAAGTGTAAGAAAATATATGGAATTAAGAAATTACATAGTTTTGGTTTACAGATCATCATGTACAGCCATGTACCTAGAGCAAATTGCATAGGAGTTTGAGCCAACTGAAGGCATGCCCGGAAGCGAGCTCTCAACGGACTGAGAAAATGCTCCGGAGAATGGCAGCTTTGCAGTTCTTTTCATGCATTTGGAATCGGAGGAGGGAATGGAAGGAAGATGACATGAAATCCATTAGTGGTTGATGACGGAGGCAGAGAAAGCAAGGAGGGGAAACCTCTATGATGGAATAAAGGAAAAGTAGAGGATACATACTCCCTTTACACTGGGGGCACAGTAAGTTAGCATGAAACACTTCCTGTAAATACCGATGGTAGACACGCAGCAAGATCATGTGCTCCCTTGAGGGTGGTTAAGCCTCCCACCGGTCTGAAAAAGAGGATTATTCTGACATTTCAAAGGTGTGTTACCCTAGATGCACAAAACAATGGACAGGGTTCTAAGGCAAGAATAAAAATCTTACTAAGGAAGTTCTAGTCCACGACAACCTGCCCAGTTATGAATTTATGGTCAGATAACCTTGTGAGATTACTTTTGGCCACTGTTGAGCTTGTCAGATGTAGTGCATAGCCCCCTTTCTGTCCACACAGTCAACGTCAGACTGCACACACATCGGATTAAAATGGAGCTGAAAAATTCCTATCACCTCGTAGTGTCCCCGCCATAGTAAAGTCACAGCACAACGCATTGCACAAAGGGCCTACAGCATTCAGTCGAGTAGCATGCAGTACAGGTGTGTAGCCTAGGAGCTGCTGGGAACAGAATTTGTCATACCAAAATATGTCTATTTGCAATAAGGATTATTTTAGGCTGGTTAATTTTAGAAAAAGAGCAGACATGGGATACGCTCTGAAAAGCAAATAGAAGTTACCCTTTGTAAGACGAGAGGGAATTAACTTCTTCTCTAGGAACTCTCTCCAATGCAGAAGACAACTGTGAGTCAAATCTGCGTAACAACCTCACCCTTGCTTACGGTGCTTTTCCTGGTCACCTCCCATAACTGAATCCCTCCACCTCCAACATCTCGTGTTTTAGCTGGAGATGTTATTTAAGGTGGTGGCTTTAGTCATTTTGACAAGTTCCTCAGCTTTCCTGGGTCACTCCCATGTTTACAGGATATACATGTTATTATATGTTATACATGTTATTAAACTCTGTTTTTCTCCTGTTGACATGCATTTTATTTCAAGGATGTCTCAGCCAAGAACCCAGAGGGTAAAGGGAAAATTATTTTTGCTCCCTTGCAGAGAAACAGGCTATACTGTCTAGATTTGTGTAAGTGCACTCTGATGTTTGCACAACGGAATTGCCTAATGGCACATTTCTCAGAATGCAGCCCATTGTTCAGCAGTGCATGACTGTATAATTACATGCTATCATTTCTTAAAATGCTAACAATTGAATTTCAATGTTAAATGTCGAACTTCTTACAAATAAATGTAAATAATTTCATGAATATTTATGAAAGACCTCATCTGTGGGCATTGAGGCTAATACAGGGGCGGGGGCAGGTGTTATGAGATCATTCTTCAGGTTGGAACACATACATTTCAGAGATTTGGGTCTTTGGCTTCCTCTGCTCTTCCAATTGTGCCTCAAATCCTTACCCATCTGCAGACTAATGCTTGAGATGTTTGCATAAAGGAATAAAACCCCTAAATGTACAGCGATGTTTACTATAATAATGCCCTGGGAGATACAGCACAACAATTCATATGTGTACCAAGTTTCAAAATACATTTTATGGAGAGTTCCTGATAGGAGAGAAGAGGTTGTCAGGGTCTCAGCAGGGAGTGGCGACATGCAAGGGGAGCCCGGGTGTGTGGAGCAGACATTGTTTCTTTGTGGTCAGACACCCCGGTTAGAGTGCAGCCTGCAGCTCTGCCTCTTAAGGTTTTGAGTGCTTTCTTCTAGCAGCCTGGGCTTCAATTTCCTCATCTGAAACTGAGGATCATAATGGTACTTAATTCATAGTGGTGTTCAGAGAATAAATGGGTGAGCATGTATAAAGCACTCGGAACAATGCCTGTCATGTATTCAGCACTGGAAAAGTCTTAGCTGCTATTGTCATGTGCAGTTGTAATCCAGGCCACAGAACTGTGTATAGTGGTGTCACTGTTTCCCAGAGCACACTCCTTTAGGAATGTTCACAGTGCAGACCCTTTATCACTGGCTCCGGTTTGCTCTGCACCCACCTGCAGTTCCTAAGGTCTGGGATCTGATGACGGACTTTTAGGTGGTGGGTTTATTTTGTCTTGTCCTGCATGTACAACCTGCAGTTCTTTCTGCCAGTACCTGTAAACCCTGGTTAAATTATTGAACAGCACCAACTATAAACTTATACTACCGCAGTGATAGCATTTCCCTAAGGAATTTGCTCAGAACCCTCTTAGTCAGTTGTCCAGGGAAACAAGCTGGTGACGTCACAAGGTGTACACCTTCAGCTCTCCCTTCGGTTCAGCTTGAGGCAGGGCTCAGTTCTTTAAACTCTGCCCAGCCTAAGCACATTCCTGTCCTCTCCAAGGCTGTGCAGAGACCCTCCCTCTCTCCCAGCAATGTCTGAACTTAAGTATGTTGGGGTCACAACCACACACTTCTGCCTATGCTTCTTTGGCCACAGACCACTTTCTATGTTTTTTTCCCTCCCAGGGTATAGAGAAACCTATGCAACTAACGTGTCTGGGACAGCCCTGGGTATCCCTTGGTTTTCTGGTGTATACACACACACACACACAGCTAAAAAAAAAAAAAAAAAATCCAACAAACCAAACCCTTGGAACTGCTCCCTGGAGGTCCAAAGGTTATTTCAGATTTTGTGGGGCCTGGAGAATTTAGGAGCAAGATTACAATACCCTACCCCTTTCTACTTATCTCCTTCCATGTCTTAAACATGTCCACAGTATCTCCCTCCTGGTTTATCCACCTGCCCCTCATCCTCTCAAGAGATATTATTATAACTTTCTTGTCCTGCTCAAATGAAAAGGAAAGAAGAGAGAATGAAGCCATAATGAGATTTCATCAGTCAGTGCACTTACGATGAGGTCACTTAACCATACCCTATTTCAGCCTGACGGCCAAGTGCAGTTCTTACACTGACCTTTGTGTGCAAACCTCCTGACCTCTTCTCTAAATGTGACACGTGAAAAGAAACAATAACCCTGTCACAACATGTATTAGGAAGGGAGCTATAAGGGAAGCAGAGTCAGTCTCGTTGGAACTCTCCTGTGGGAGGGGTGTGTCCACAGCTCTTCTGCCTGCTGCAGGCCTGCGGCCCTCACCCCACAGGAGGACGCCAGACAAGAGCAACTTCAGACATTCCCAGCTCCCTGGCCAGAGCGAGCCATGGCGAGGACTTCCACGTGCATGTACCACTTCCTTGTCTTGATCTGGTATATTTTCCTCAATTATTACATCTCACAAAAAGCAAGAGAGAAGCGGGCAACCATAATCTTTGAAAACGGAGGACAGTGGAAGTACTTGACAATGCTTAATTTGGTAAGTCCATCTGACCATCCCGGGAAACAATCTGTCCACAGGATCAGGTGTCCTACATCTCTCACCTTTCAGTTGTATGAAACACAAAATTCCACTATTTCTCTTCCTTCTTCCTTGTCTTTGAGCTTTGGCCTTCTCTTTGGCCTACCGGTTTGCTCTGAGAAGTTATCCGTGGCTACATTTTGCGCTGGCTAATCATTAAATGCTTTGTTGAAAAGATCTGTCCTGAGGCTCTTTCCAGTTGATCCCAAGTCGGGGACTAAATTTATATTTTCACCACGAGGTTGACTCCCAGCAGGAGGGGTTTCGAACTTGCTTGGGGAAGTGTGTGAGGAGAACACAGGTTGCCTAGGAAGGGGATTTCGGTGGAGGAGCAAAGCCACCGCCAGCACATAGGCTAACAGGTGTATCTGAGGAAAGCGAACACCCTTTGCCATGTTCAGATCCCACCTCAATTTTTTTATAGGCTTAAGGCTCAATCTTAAAGGACAACCCCCCCCCCCCAACCAAATGGCAAATATGGATTTTCAACTATTTACAAACCGATCACATGGCTCGAGCCCTTGTCTTGCTAGCCCGGCTGACCCCATTCTGACGCATGACGTGTGAATGAATGAGAGAAAAACGAAATTTAAAAAATGTTTGGGGAATATTTGTAAACATTTTTAGAGTTAAAAGCTAAACATTTTGGGGGGATGCTAATTAATATTTGATATTTTTCACTAAAATGTGGAGTGCCAATGTCAGCATCTGATGCCAGAACCCGGACAAAATATGCCAGTCCTTTGGCATCACACTCCTGAGCAGAGGTTGTATAAGGTCAGAAATCGACACTGAAATGCTAAGGGTTGGAAATTCAGAAAGTTCAAATTGAACAGGCCTGGAGGTTCTGCTTCTCCTTCTCTGGTCAATTGCTGGCCTTTGATTTTTGTCCTAAAAAATTCGAGGCCTGAACACAGCTTGAGTGTGCTTGACAGTATCAAGGGGACGATTTGTTTCAATCATAGAATTTTATGGGAGTAAAACACAAAACCAAAAAACAGAAAACACAACAAAAGAAATGCCTTTGTGGAGCTAGACTAATGCAATAAAAACCTCAGCTTTGTGTATTTGTTGGCTTTATATTAAAAAATGGTCAATGAAAAGAGAGGTGTGTCTGTAGCCAGAATTAATGGTCTAATCAAATCCAAATTCCAGTGGCCCACCTTCATGCTAAGAATGGCTACGAACAGATTTATCACCTACTTCCACAAAGCTGCTCTCTGACTTCTTAATTCTGCCTTGCTTACCTGCCCCAGAGCCACCACAAGTCTAAAAATGAAAAAGAAAAAAACACTTATTTTGTCAGGCATTCTTTTCCCTGGTGTTAATCCCCTTTTTGTTTCCCTAACTACTTAGCCACTGAATTTTATGTTTTTCCTTTTGCTAGGTCCATCCAGGCTCCCCCCGTCTTACTGACTCTCTTAATCGCAGCCTCTACTTAGTTTTTAGCTGGATGACCAGATCATCTCGTTGTCCTCTCATTATCAATCCGTTCATCTACCACTCAGATTTCACGTTAATCTGCTCAAAGCACTGTTTTGGGTTTGATTTGGTCTTAAACATCATAAGCCTGCTTGAGAAGTGTGGTCTACTACTCAGGACATTATAGTAGCTACCTTCTACTGTAATGTAGAAGGTATGGAAGCAATTCCAAAGTCCTGATTTAAAAGCTCACCACCCAGCCTTCAGGTCCCCCTCTCCCCAGGAAGCTGGTCTCTTCCCCAGGAATGCCTGTGTCTCCTCTAATGCTGGTCCCTGGGCTTCTTGTTATCACTACTCTACCCTTGTTCACACCATCTTTCAGTGACAGGCCCCTTGCCCCCCACCACTTTGCTCCTCTGGTAGACCACCTGAAATCCCATATTCTCTTTAAACTTTCTACTGACTGAACCCAGCCCAAATTTGTTTTTCCTCCCCCTCAGTTTTCACAGCATCTCTCAATGTCTGCTTATTTATGCTCAACGTTGTTTCCTAATTTCCACCCACATGTGAGTCTTAATATCCCAATCAAATTGTGAATGGCTGCAAACCAGGAATATTGTCCCCTAGGTCCTGTGCCAGCCCTAACAGTCTTGGAGTCTAAGTTGCCTGCTGTAATGGCTGGCACAGAGTACCTCCATAAGAAAAACTGGGTAACTTGGCATGTTGGCTGAATTGACCTTAGCTCTGTCTGCATTCCTGAGCAATTTGTCTCTTCTGACATCTTCTGGCCCTTGCAACGAGCAGAGAGGGGCTCACCTGTGGCTGTTTCCCTTTTGAACTCGCCAGCATGACAATGCAAAGTTTTTCAGTTGGTGAAGATGGATTGAATGTGTTCCAGAGGGTCAGTGTAAGGATAGATTTCAAATACGTTACTTCAGGTAAAATGTTGGGCCTTAAAATTTCTAGCTCTGGAGGTCTTGTGGGCTGATGAATGGTTGTGGTTCCTAAAGATTAATTAGTGTTAACTAATGATTAACAAATGGTTATGCTTATAAAGTTATAGAGGGCTCATAGCTTCCTATCACATTTTAAAATTTATTTTATGTAAGCTTGTTGAAGTCTGTACCCTATCCTGCTTTCCAGGAAATGGACACCCCTCCCCTTTAAACAGTTTTACGTTGTACTTGGCCGAGTATCAGTTACGCCCCTTTTAGGAGCCAAGTGTGCCGTGGTGGAAGTCAGCATTCTGCGTGTGCCTCATTTCCTCCTGAAGCCACCCCAGCGGACTCAAAGGGGAGCAACAGGAGTGGTGGCAGGAGGTGAGGTGTGAGGGGTGCCCCCGAGAATTGGTCATGGTGATCAATTCATGCCTAGTGCCCAAGGAGAGCCAAGGAAAGAGAGGGGAGATGTGTCGCTGACACCAGGGAGGAGGCAGCCAATTCTCCATTGAGAGGGAGAGGTAGTGTGGCCCAGTGGTCACGAGCAGAGTTAGGGCCCCGAGCTCTCTGGGTACTTCAGTTCCACCACCTGCTCGCTCCGTGCCCCTGAGCTAGGTATTTCTTTTTGTTTTCCATTTCCAAATCTGTCAAAGAGAAATAAAAATAGTTCGTAACCACAGAACGGCCATGAGAATGGTGTTCGCAGTGGGCGAGGGAAACAGAGGATGGAGGGTGGGGTGAGCTTCCGTCATCTCATCTTGAATGAGAGGTGCTACAGAGGGGAGGGTGATCTAGTGAAACGCGGGTCTCCGCACTGAGCACCTTGGGTGGTGGGCCACGTTTCCCTCCTCATTGCTCAAGTCGCTCCCTCTGCAGGCTGCAGGCTCCGGCTCCCCAGAGAGCCACACTGTCCCTGCTGCAGCTGCCCCGCTGGAGGCCCTCAGCCCTGGGACAGTCCCGGAGGTGGAGTTCACAGGCTCAGGCAGCAGCAGGGACTGGCGCTAACTGGGAAGCCCCCCAAGCTGGGCGTGGACACAAGGCAGTGCTGTGGACACCCTCAGCACCTCCGCCTCCCACCACTGCTGTGTCCCCTGCTCTCCGTTCCCTCCACTTCCAGCCAGTGGCTGTCTCTGGCTCCACGGAAGGCAAGCTGAGGGGCTGGGGATGGAGGGGACTTTGCAGCTACAATTTGGCTTGCAGAGTTCATACAGTTTTTGGGGTTTTCCTCTGAAACATTGTGAAGGATGGTGCCACTTAACTAGGCTGTCCAGGGGAGATTCTGGGTGGGCCCCTCCTCCACCCTCTTCACCAACAGAGGCACAAACTTTCCCTCTCCTCTTTATTAGTTTCTCCAAGCCTCAGGCAGCTCTGACCTCATTATCCTCAAGCTCTCATGATGACTACAGTCGTCACTAGGTGCTCAGGGACAGCAAAGCAGGGCCTGGGGAAGAGAGATCCTTGAGGATGCTCCATTGGCCCAAACTCCAAGGCAGCCACGAACAGCGAGAAGACAAGGATCCATTTATGTTACAGAACCCAGTTCAATACTTGGGGCCAACCTTGAATGTCCACCATCAAGTTAATATATTAATCTGTGGAACTCTTAAATGCAACAGTCAGAAATACACTTAACTCTTTTACAAAAATACCAAGGCCACTGTTTTTAGCTCTCAGAACTCTGGAAGGATGAAGATTGATAGAAGGGAATAGTCACCACCAACTCCCAAAATAAAATAGCTAAAATTCATTGAGCACCCATGACAGCACTGCGGCAGATTCTTTACACACAGTGTCGAGATGAGCGATTGAAGGCTTCGTTTCTGGAGTCGGGCTGCCTGGATGTGAACGCTGTCTCTGCCATTCATTTACTGTGGGACCTTGAGTGAGTTACCTAACTTCTCTGTGCTTCAGTTTCCTTATATGTAGTGAATACTGAGGGGGGGGGGCACTCAGATTCCCCCACCTCCTCAGCACTGAGGTACTCACCCCCCAGCTCTTGGGAGGAGTGTTGGCTGCTGCTGACTCACAGCTGAGCACCTGTCCCGGATCTGTGCTCAGTGGAAGGAGCCACCTAGGGACCAAGGCTTCGGGACCTCCCTGGGGTTGCTCTATCCAATGACCGGTTGATTTGGGGTACAAAGGCCAGGCTCCAGGACAACTCTGACGGGCCCACTCAGCTCTAGGGCTCCCTCAGGGATCAGCTGATTTCATGCAGCCACCCTGCCTGTTAGCTTTTCCTGCTGCTCAGTCCTGTTCCCTATCCTTCCCTCGCCCTCCCAGGTGGTCTAGGAGCACCCTCAATGAACTCCGCAGGCAGACCTCAGAGTCTCAGGTTCTGTCTCCCAAGGAACCTGACCTACATAATGTAAAAGAGTAAACATACAGAAAAGCCTCTTCCTCCTCCTCCTCCTCTGCCTCCTTCTTCTTCCTAATAAAAACACATTCCTGCAGAACCTGCCCTGGCCGGGATTATGCCTAATACAATTTCTAAATTGTATTTAGATTTCTAAGCTAAATCCATCAATGATGTTGAAATAATACAAACATATAATAGTGATATATTTGGCAAAGGCTTCCTCTACTTGCCCCAAGTGCCAATACCCTAAAAATTATATAAAGACTCATCACAATCAGTCCCCATTTGCTGTTTTATTCTGAAACAGTCTCTTACTGCGAGTATTGCGTCATTTCCAAGGCAAGACCTAAGAAAGTCCCGGCCTGTCTAAGTCAGGCACGGAGTGCTGAGCTGGGCATTGGATTACTTGACTCATCGAATAAGAGTTGTAATGTCTTGCTCAGGAAACTTGTGGAATCTCCCTCTCTGGAGTTATTTTTTTAAATAGAAAAAAATTCTCATTTCCTGCGATAGTTTAAAAGGATTCTGGCTTAAAGGCAAAGCCATAAACTTGATGACTTAGAGAGACTAAGTTTCCATGATTTCAAGATTTTTGTGAATTTTGTGAAGACACATGCATATAAAAAACTAAATATCCTTTAGCTATGGTTTCTTAAATTGCACTAGTTATAAAAATGTAAATTCAGCTCTCACAGGTGGTAAGTTTGTCAGCAAGCAACAAAAATGGAAGTCATCTACCAAACTTAGACCAGCAGCATTTTGGAAAAAGGCACCACAGAACGAACAGAATTAGGGAAGGACTAAAGAAAAGATGAATCAGGGAACAGCAGCTCTGAAGTAGGTCTTGATCGAGAAGGTCTATTAGCTCTGCTTTCCTGGGAAGCCAAAATAGTTGAAAAATATAAATGACAGTGACGTTGTTCAAGCAAGGCCAGTTGTTGCTATCTTATTTGTATACTGCTGTGTTATTCTGCTCGGGCTACCATAATAGAGTAGCATAGACTGGATGGCTTAAACAGCAGAAATTTATTTCCCTTGGCTTCGTAGGCTAGACATCCAAGATCTAGCAGCTAGCAGGACTGGTTTCTCCTGAAACCTTTCTCTTGACGGCTTGCAGGTGGCCACCTTCTTCCGATGTTTTCACATGGTCTTTCCTCTGTGTGCCTGGGTCCTGACCTGCTCTTCCTATAAAGACACCGGTTGTCACTTAATTACCTCTTTAAAGATCCTATATCCAAATGGAGTCACATTCTGAGGTACTGCGGATTATAACGTCAACCTATCAATTTTGAGGCAGGGAACACAGTTCACCCGTAACAGCTGCCATTTTCTCCCTTGACTATTCTTTCCATGTGTATTTTGGAAAACATTCCATTGTACTTTCCTTAGACTCTAAGGCTTAGAGAAAGAGCAGGCCATGTGCTATCCAGCGAGCTCACCCAAACCTGTCCTTGAGGCCCCCCAGAAGCCCCTCACCGAGTCAGGTCAGGGCGCCTCCCCTCCTTGCCCTCCAGCTCTGCTTGTGGCTCCTCTCTGCCCCGGTTCTTGCCTCTTTGCTTCCCTTGGCTCCCCCCAGCTCTCCCTCCTGAGCTCCTGTGTGAGGGCTCCATGAACAGTCCTTGTTGACGCAGAGGACGGTATGTCAATGCGGATTAAGATCAGTGGGGAAAGGCGGTGTCACACACACACAGCGGTATCTGTACACGTGGCATTTGCCATGAAATAACACGTGAGCTGAAGGGGAGGAGCGATCGGCATGTTTGTGGTGCGGAGCAAATTTTATTGTTGAAGGAGAAGACATGGAAGTTCCGAGGAATGTGTTTTTCCCTCAGTCCAATTTCCACATTCTGCAGCTGGGACAGGCAGGAGAAAGTCAGGATGAGCCTGACTCGTGATGACCCAGGAGGCTCTCCGAAGGAAAGTGGTCACATGGACGTGACGTGCGGAATGGAGGCAGCCTCTCCCCAAAGGGGGAAAACCTGGCGGACACTCAGTGCTCAGTGCGTGGCTAATTGCTGTGTTAATGGGACAATGCAAGCCTCCTCGCCCAGACCCCAGGCGCCATGCCTGCCTTCCCTAGCTAGAGCTGCCGCCTGTGGTGTCTTAAAGAGCTGGCAGAGAAGCCAGGAGTGAGGTGAGAGCCGCCAGGCGTGGGGGCAGGAGTAGGGTGATGGAGTGACTTCTAATCTTCATGTACAAAAGACTGCACTTCAAATTCTACAGCCCTGGGGGCCAAATGTCAGAGGTACATGACAATAGCCTGGCTGGTGTGGCTCACTTGGTTGAGCATAGTCCCGGACACCGAAAGATCACTGGTTTGAGTCCCAGTCAGGGCATGAGTCTGGGTTGCAGGTTTGATCCCTAGTAGGGGGCATGCAGGAGGCAGCCGATCAATGTTTCTCTCTCACATCCATATTTCTCTCTCTGTCTCTCCCTCTCCCTCCCTCTCTCTCTCAAAACTCAATAAAAACATAGTTTTTAAAAGGTAGATGATAAGTACTGGGATGGCAACCTCTTCATGGTATTTAAAATTGGTGCCCACCCCTCCCTGGGATGCCCCCTTCTTGCTTGAAGCTCTCTCCTTCAAGGGCCATGAGTTTCTTGTACGTTCCTGGTTTTCTACCATGTGAACATCTTTGCTGTTTTGCTGGCTCTTCTCCCTCTCTTCTCTCTTCACCTTCCTCCCGAGGGCTCAGCTCCCTAGATCGTCACAGCTCCTCTCCTGAGAAGAACAGGTCTGATCTTCCAAGTGGAAGCCCCTCTGGCCAGTGGTTCTCAACCTTAGCTGCCCGATCATGACCGCCTGGGAGAATGCTTTTTAATCCGAAGCCTAGGCCACCCCCACCCCCAGACCCATGAAATTAGAATCTCCGTGGAAATCAGGCAGCAGTATGTTTTGAAGTCATTTTAAATTCTCGCGCCTGTAGATAATTGTCTTTCCTCTAACCTCCCGTGGTTCTTTATCTGAACTGTACTTAGAAACTTGATACTTTTGTTTGAAGTCTGGCTCAAGGACCAGACTCTGGGTCTCAATTCTTGGCCTTTGACACTTACCAACTATGAGACTTGAGGAAAGTGTGTACATCTCTCCGTGCCTCAGTTTCCTCATCTGAAAAATGGGTTAAGAGGAAGAGTAATCATAGGACTTACCTCATAAGATTGTTGTTAGAAAGACTATATGTACCCCCATGTTTGTAGCAGCACTATTCACAAGAGCTAAGATCTGGAAACAGCCCAAATGTCCATCAGTAGACGAATGGATCAAAAAGCGGTGGTACATATACACAATGGAGTACTATGCAGCTGTAAGAAAGAAAGATCTCTTATCCTTTGAGACAACATGGAGGGACCTGGAAAGTATTGTCCTAAGCGAAACAAGCCAAACAGAGAAAGCCAAGTATCATATGATCTCACTTATTTGTGGAATACAATGAACATAACAGTATGAGGAATGGGGTAGTCCCAGAGATGTGGAAGTGGGGTACAGACTGACAATCCCCAGAAGAGGGGGGGTGGGGGAGAGATAAACCACAGAACTTATATGCATGTATGCATGAACAGTGGACATGGACAACAAAACTGGGGACAGGGTGGGGAGGGAGGTGGAGGAGGGAATCAGTGGGGGAAGGAGGAGAAACATCTGTAACAAAATAAATAAATACAAAAATAAAAATAAAAAAACAAACTTCTTGGCCCCATTCCAAAAAATTCTGATTCCATCTTCTGGGTGGGGCCAAGGTACTGCATTTATAACAAGCTTACGGGTGATGCTGCTGCTGCTGATCCAGGAACAGCCTGGGAGTATTCCTGACTTAATACACCTCCAGATCCTCTCCTATCCACATCTGCAGTTCAAGGAGTGACAGGAGGCCAACTCTGCTAGGGCTTTCTTAGAGTTCTGACGTCAGAGATCATCCCCCAATAGCTGACTGGATCCATCAAGCACCCATGTTCCAGAACGTGCCTGATGCGTACGCTCTAGCGGAGTCCTGACCTTTCCATACCAATCCAGAGCTTTCAGGAAATAAGATGGACTCTGATGCAAGCATAATTCAGACACAACCCCAACTTTGTGTTAGAAGTCACGTATTTGTGCGAAACACGAAGAGTGGGCAACGCTTGCCTTTGTGTGATCTTACTTCCTTGGAAAAGAGCCTCTTCTCTTTTAGTTGACCTCAAGGATCTCACAGTAGTTAGTGACTGACCAGAGCCCATGGCTTGCTGTATCTCTGTGGATCTAAATCACTCTCTTGGACAGATTTCCTGGCCTTCAGGCACCCCCTTTTAATGAAGGAAGAACACTGGCTTCTCCCTCAGATAAGCTCCATACTGTTTTTGGTATCTCTCCCAGGAGAGCAAAGAGCTCCTTCTTGGTGCTCTCGACCCTGATTCTGGCTTCTGTAATTAGATGGCAACGGTAGACATTTTTAAAAAATTTTCTTCCGAGGAAGAACATGTCTACCATTGTGTCTGGCTCTCTGCCCTTCTGCTGTTTACATGGTCTTTCCCACCTCTGTGCAGCCAAGGTATCTAGCTCATTACATTCTCCTTTTAAGCTGACTCTTTATTTTGTTTCCATTTTAACTCAAGTCCATTACACTAAATACTGTACACATTATTATCCCCTAAACGACTTTACTCAATCAGTTTTAGTGAGCAAGGTCAGGGCCCAGTGAGCTGGAAGACCAGCCCTTGAATTGGCTTCCAACCAAAACAACCAATAGCCCCTTCCTTCTCAAATCAGCATTGCTCCCTGGGGGATGGTGCTTTACGTCGGCGAGTAACGTATTAATTAAAACAAATGAAAACGCCCTCATTTGTTGTAATGAATTTAGCTTTTGCAGGCCATTTTCAATGGGGTCGCCTGCCTGGAAGATGTGCTGACAAGAATTAAAGGGAAAAAAGACATTAAGTTCATAACTGCCTTCAGAGACCTGCTTTTCACCGCACTGGCTTTTCCTATATCCACGGTGAGTTACAAAAATGTATATGCAATGTGAAACGCATGCTCCTAGGGATGAACGTGTCTCCTGGGTGGCAAGGCTGTTTGCGAGCCCGTGACTGTAGACCAGAGCAACTACATTTGCATGGACGTCCTGAGGACTGCATCCGTTGCCCAGTGTCTTCAGGAAATAGAGCACATTACTTACTGAGTTATCATTAGCATTTGTGTCTTTGTAAATGTTTGAGATAAGATCTTTATTACTGTCTAACAGGGAAGTTTAAAGGACGTTTTCTCTTTTTTTGGTACGTGCCCCTAGCGGGAACCAAACCCGGGACTCTCTGTTCCGCAGGCCAATGCTCCAACCACTGAGCCAAACCGGCCAGGGCTTAAGGACTTTTCTTAACCAAAATACAACTGGGATAACCTTGGTTCCAGCAGGGTAATGGGCATGCAGAGTGTTAGGGAGAAAGATAATTAATTTTCCCTTTTATACATCTTGTTTCACTTGCTGCAATATGTTACTTCTGCAAGTGGAAACCATAAAAAAAAAGGTATGAGAAACTTCAAAGCTGGCACATGAAAAAGACTACTGAGGAGAGAGAGAGAGTGAGAAAATCTGTCTGCAATACCTGGTGTGGGGCACAGAATGGGTGCCTCATTCACTTTGTTGAATGAATGGACACTGGAAAGAAGCAAGACATATACAAGGGAGAGTAAGCGTTTTTGCTGACACTGTCCACACTTCTGTGACATTGCTTATGTTTTCATTCATTAGTTAGAATGGAAACAAACTGAGATCAAGCACTCCAGCTGCCCAGCAAGGCCTATAATTAGACGTGACTACCTCCTTCCACCCGTCATTGTCCTGCTTCCTATAGTACTGAGACTTCAAAGTTAAACTCAGAACGAAACTCGCCAAACGATGAGTTCTCGGTGCAGAGAGCAGAGCAAGAACTGGCACTCCGGTTTCACTCCCCTACCCCCATACATCTAAAGGCCACATTTGGCTTTGGGTGTTTTTTGTTTTGTTTTGTTTTGTTTTTCATGACAATGGAATTTAGTCATGTTTTTGAGGCTGTGGAATTTAGGAATATAAGAAAATTAGAAAATTAATAGTTTCTTTTTTCCATCTCTCCATTGACTTTGATCTAGAGGACAGACACTTTGAAAAGGCAGCCAAGGGATATGAGATGCTGGGGATGGACCGAAACCTCGGAGCGATGGAGAGACCCCACTCTGTTACTGGTCTGGGAGTTTCCCCTGCTCCTCTCTGCCAGCCTCCCCACTTCCCCGGCCGGCCATGTAGGGGCTGGGCAAGCAAAGGGTGAGAGAAAGGCCCTCCATGTGGCTGCTCTCAGCACTCCTGGTGACAGTTTAAAGAGCAAAGTCACTGGCGAAGATTAAATGACTTAATGGTCTGCAAATCCTGTTTATCTGTAGCCTCACTGCCTGCCACCATGACAAATAATTGATCCCTAACTCTCCAGACTCCCCAGGGAGTCGATATTACAATTCTATGATATGGAATTTTTTTCTTTATTTTACATTTTTATGATGTCTTTCAAACGCGTATCTACTTTTATTTTGCTGTGTTTCCTTGGTTATCTTAGAAAGCACTGCTTGAAAACAAACTTAATAGTATTTTTGTGTTTCATTTTCCAGTTTGTGTTTCTGTTATTCTGGATCCTCTTCTTCTACAACCGAGAACTCGTTTACCCTAAGTTAATCGATGATGTCTTCCCACACTGGCTCAATCACGCCATGGTAAGTGAAGGGAGGATTTAGTCACTACAGCAAGGCCTCTGTATGGAACTCCAAAGTGCCTTATTTATGTTTCCGAACTTCTCAACCCCCAACATCCTGCTCACTCCTCCCTCTCCATCCTGTCATTATTTATTTAAAGAGCTCACTGAGGATGTAAAGTGAACACAAACTGGTCCAGCAATCACAGTCACTGAGCGCGGGAGGGATGTCCAGGCAGGACTCTGCCGAGAGGCTTATGACGTCATTGAAAAGGCCGCAGCCGTAAGGGCAGGCAGCTTCCGGGTGCCGTCCTGAAACACAACTGCAGCCAATGACATGTAATGGAAATTCTGATCTAGGAATGGAACTTAAGAAAATCCACCCCAATATCCGAAGTGTATCTCAGAGCTGAGCAGCAGCTTCTTAGTTAACACCTGATCCGGACTATTTATTGCAGGTGAAATCATTATTCACATAATTCTATTAATACATTGCCATTGGTGTTTTAATCCGTGCACTTATTTTTAAAAGGCTAACTAGTAAACGTAACCTGTTCTGAGATATTCCGGTTACTGGTACCTGAATACCGGTAACAGGGACTGGCCGGGCAGAGGGGAGAAAGGCTGCCCAGGTCTCGGGTGACGATGGGCCTGAGTCACTGACTGGCAGGACCCATGTGAAATTGTTCAACATCCCAGCTTATCTGCTTCCCATGTAACAAATGTATTTCCACATTGGTTAGGAGTTCAGAATGAGGATTCAGTGTCTGTGAAGCAAACGACATTTAAAAACCAGGGAAAATCACAAGGAAGTATCATTATCAAGGCTCCTCAAGATCACAGACTTTCTTTTACCTACAACCCTTCCATCGTCGTCACACTCACGTAGTTACCGACAGGGAAAAGCAGCTCAGTCCCCTGACTCGGCCCCTCCACACCTCAGCCCTCAGTAAAATGGAGTTTCCGTTTAAACATGTGCTCACTGAGTTACTAATTACTAGGCTGTCCATGTTCTAATTTAATTTAGAGTTCAGGACCAAAAACTATGTGTTAAGTAAGTCTCACCTCTCAGGGACCTCTTTCTACCAGCTCCTTCAGGGAACATCTGACCACCTTTTAATTCCTATTAATATTAATCTGAGACACCTATGCAGGGACATTTCTGCTTTTTCATGCTACTTTACTAAGCAAGTTCCTTAAATATGAGGAACTTTTAATTCACACAACCTTCGTTAGGTAACAACTATAATCCTGATTTTTACAAATTAGAACAGAAAAAACAGCTCAGAGATGTTAAGTGATTTGCCTGAGGCCACAGAGCTGGTGAGTGGGACTCTGGGGTTTAGATCTAAGGCTGATTCTGCTCCCCCTTGTCCTTTGCTGTAGTAAGTACAGAACTGTGGTTTGATCTGGTTTCATAATTTACCAGGCAATCAAAAGATGTTTGATTAGCATAGCCAAGTGAGACTTCTCACTTTAAAAAAATCCAGAATCCCCATCTCTAAGCTAATAAGCCAAAACTTGACTTAAGAAAATAAAGTGATTTGGGACAACTGACTGAGCTAGATGTGACTAAACTAAAAAAAAAAAAAAAAGGCAGACTCTGGCCAACTACATATATCACACATTTCCCAGGCTTTGTGAGCTCATCAAGTGTCTTCCTGCCTCCCAGCTCTTTAGGGTTTCATTTTCCAGGGGAAATAATGTTGGATTTCTTCCAAATAGTTGTGTTGGTGATGCCCAGCATCTGTGACCTTGCCAAACAGCCATATAGATTTCTAGATAGCTGTGCAATGTACATCGTATCCAAGAGCAAAGAAGATTCTGTACAACAGAGTTCGAAAATGTTCATGTGCCTTCCTAACCTGGGGGTTTCTGTTTGCTCCTAGTTCTGTGGTCAACCAAGTCACTTGAATCTCTTAGAGAGATGGAGCTAAGGGCAAAGGAGGTGGGACGGAGGAGGTGATAAAGAGAAACGAGGAGGTGGCAACTTGTCTTCAGTCAGACACAGACTCTGTGATTCTGTTCAATTAAATGGAGAAGCTCCCAACAGAGCCATTTCTAGGGGAAAATGTTGGAATCAGCAAAACCAGCTTTGGGTATCCCTAATGTGGTCATCTCCAACCTTCGTGCTTCCTTCTGGTGTCTTCTCCAAATCCAGTATCCTCATGACCGAATCTCATCCCTCTCTCCAGATGGTGTCCCTTATTCTGGACATTTTCTGTCCTTGCTATAAATCCTCCTGGTCTGTTGTGTCAAGCAATGCTTTCTGCTAACTTCTTACATACTAGTGTGAGCAAATATGGAAATGGCTGTTACCCAGTCAACTTGTTAACACTTTCTGCATTTTAACAGTGTCATTCTATGACAACCCAAAGAAATAAACACCCAGAAACCATCACTGTGGCAGCCAGAGTGATGATGGGCAGGCAGGCCGGACGTGTGGTACTAGCTACCTACACGCACGTGGGGAATTGCTTCCTGTAGTCTCCTTTTTCTTTCTCTTCCACAGTATAAGAATTATTGGCACACATAGCCAGTGTCATCCTTTTCTGAAGGGTTCCTTCATTTCATAACAGTTCTTATGTTTGCTACTTTACCCTTAGCTTTGAAATAGTTTCCCTGTTGCCATTTGTGATGATGCCCTGGGTTTTGTGACTAATATTTGTCAAATTATGAAATACCACTCTCCCCTTTGACACAGTGTGGCTCTAAAACTTGTGTGATTTATCATCTTTGGAGTCCTCCCAGTGCAAGCCTTCTAGCTCGCCGGAGACTTGTCGCTAAGTAGGATCATTCAAAGCTGACTATCATCTCTAATGGGCATTTTTCTGCCCTTGTTTCGTATCCGAACCAAATAGTGACATCAGGAAATCTTTGCATCAACCATGGGCGGCTGCCATTCACTGGTGCCCTAAGCACTCCCATGTGAGCTGCCTTATTTAAAGTAGACCGCCCTGTTTTACTGCTGAGCAGCTCTCCAGTCTTCATGAAAGAAGGGAAATAACAGTACAGTGTCCCTCCAGGTTTGCCAGGAAAACATGAGCTCCTCAGGTCTTATCTGAATGACTACTAAAGACAGAATGGGAGCTGACAGATTTAAACAGCAGGAAGAGGAGCCAGTAACTGAGGAAACCATCAGCTCTAACCTGAAGAGGGCTGGGGAACATATTTCTCAGGAAATCAACCTAAATTGCTCAGGTTGCCCCCAAAGAGGGATGCGAAAAATCAGAAAACCCCCCTCAGAACACTTCTACGTTTGAAAATAGTACAGAGTTGTTGAGAACATGGTGGACGTGGGGTTCTTGTGGTGTCACAAGAAAAAGCATTTCTGGGAACCCACCGGGAGGATGAGGTCTCGTGGTAAGAGGTCTTTGGGTGAGCATTGAAGGCTGCCCCTCCTGGGCTCCCAATGTCCCAGCTCCATCCACCCTGCTGTGGGAAATCGGCCAGAAGCAGTGCCAATGCCCAGAGTTCCTGTGCCATATGAAAGCTCTGTCTAGCCTTTCTCACCATCTGGCTGACCCGTGTCCCCATCCGTGCTCCATCACTGGGCTGCACGCCGGCTCCCGCGGGGAACCTGCGCGTGGAGTCCCTGCAGCTACCGAGGCCACGTGGCTAGAGGGAACACGCCGAGTCATGGGCTGCGTGCAGGTCAGTGGGTGAGGGAGCGCTCTTCTCTGCTCCCTAGGATTATATCATCTCAGGCTGGGAAAGGACCAGGCGCTTTTTCAAAATAACCAATCAGCTTCCCAAGCTTTCATGAGCTGCTGATGTATCCACCTCCCAATCAATCTCTTCTTTCCGCAGGCTAGATTGACGGCCTCTGTGGTCAAGCACCTCCCTCTGGCCACTTTGGTTTCTCTTGCACAAGAGCTCACCTCCTCCTGCCCCTGCCCCCATTCCAGATAATCCACTAGGAGTTGGGGGAAGTCAGGGGTGCTAATCCTTGTGGGGCAATGCTGTGACCCCTGGAGTGTGTGAAGCTGTAGCTTCCTGGTATTACAATAATGTCTGATTCCCTTTGCTTCCTTTCTTATTAATATCTAGCTGCCTACACTAACACAGATATTGTATACACTATCAAGGACTGCATAGATACGTTGTTATCGTGTAAAACCCTCAATCCATGATCAGAGTCTTAGAACTGAAAAGATTTTATTAATATTAATTGAGGTTCACAAACGATCTGCTCTTAAGAGTTAAGCCTTACTTTAAATTGTAAAAAATAACAAAGACATCTACTTTATTATTTAACGTGTGGCCATTTATCACTTAAAAAAATAATTATTAAGTACTCACTATGTGTGTAGCACCATGATTGATATTTGACAAAGGTTCTGACATCTAGCACCTAAATGTGGTAATGCACACACAATGTTGAAGCGATAAATAACAGTTAATACTAATACCAGACGCTGATGTAGGTGGCAGCGTGCCGTGATTTGCGATTATGAAAGACAGGGACAGGAGCGCGTCATGGCCTTGTGTTCTGGCCTGGCTGTGACCAACTTGTGGGTCATGGCTGAACTCCTGAAAGGCCTTCAAGCACTCCCCAGGATGTAGTGGAGAGTGAGAATGTCAACGGAGTGGAACTCGAACCCTTTCAGTTTCTTCCTCGCTCATAGCATGCAAGATGTTGTCTGTCATTAAATTCGGACTCAATCTCAGAGTTTTCTCTCCCACCCTTGAAGTTGGATAATGCAAGGGAGGCACCACCAGAAGTTCTGGCAGAAGAAGGGCTCGGGCAGACAGAGCAGCAGGGACAAAGACCCTGAGAGGGACCGCCAGCATCTTTAGGAAACAGCAAAAAGGCCAGTGTGGCCGCTTCAGGCTGAATAAAGAGGCCAATGATAGAACTGCAGCCAGGGTTTGGATTATGCCTCACAAGATTTATAACAAGTTGGGATTTTGATGGGGAAGGGCATCTTTTCAGGGAGGCTTACCTGCTCAGGAAGCTCTTTCAATGTTTAAACTGTGTAAATGATATAAAGACTGAGGAACAGGCCTTACTTGTCCCTT